AAATTATTAATATCAAAAATGTATTTCTGTTTTTTAAGGACTTCAAACCAAAAAAAGAAATTTTCTGTTTTGTTTTATTCTTGGATCGGGCTTTAAAGGGTTAAGTGTGAGTTGCCAAACGTTTTAAATTTAGAGGACATTGACAAAAACTCAGCAATACAAACCAAACTAACATGCACTAATGCCTATGGCTTTAATCTGTAACAGTATTTGGTCCGTCTCCATGGCTGCTTCTTGTGTGTCCTTTAGGATAAGGAAACGCCTTTGAGAAATCACTTGCCTTGCTGTGGGAGGGCATTAAGCAGTGCAATATAATCCCACCTCTAAAAAAAAAAAAAAAAAGCAAAACTGTATTACAGCCCACATGGGTGAGCCTGTAATCTCACAGTGGCCTCCTTCTGGATGCTCCCTAAGCCCCTACCCTCTATCCACCAACCCAGCCATCCACTAAACACATCAACTCAGCAAACAGCTGGTTGGGAAGGATGGAATGCACCAGCACAAACTACCAGAGGAGTTATGAGTGTGCAGGTTTAGAAAGAGGATAAGTTAAAAACAGACCATCATCGTGTAATATTCATCTAAAAATAGAAGCATTATTCAAATCCAGAAGTGAGGTTAAAGCTAATGCGGCTGACAAGAGTATAAGCTCACAGACTTTTATTTTCTGTCATGCACAAAAAATAAATGACCTATAGTATGGCTCTGTATGTATAGTTATTCTTATTGGCTCTTGTCCATAGCCTTTCTTCACATCTATCCTGAATATGTGATGGCAAAATTTGTTACCCATGTGACACACCATGCTTCCTTAGCTTCTTAATAACCAGAAATGTCCTACTTTTCTTTTTTTGTTTTCTTTTTTACGCTTGACTTCTACTGGCTCTAATGATAGTGGGAGTACCGCAGACCCCATTTGGCAGCTGATGTACAGTAACCAAGGAGAGTCTGGTTTGACTCTATAGTGGCACGTAAACATCAAGATTAATCCTTAAGCCCTTCGACTTCGGTTCACTGCCATCATTTATTCCCCATCAGTCCACACGCAGCGCATGTAGCCCGACAAGCAGATAAGAGGGAGAAGGGCTCAGTGCTCAACAGTCTACCTTAATAGTAAGCGTGTTTTCAGCCATCGGAGGTGTAATACCTGCATGCATTGCTTGGATACAATTAAAAACAAATTATGCACAGACATATGCAAAATGCAAACCTACAGAATATGTTAATAGAATTGTGAATCAGTAAAATAAACAGAAATTATGTTTCCAGTTCAGCTATAATGCAACCTTTGAGGAAAAAGTATGCTATTGTCAGGTATTGTGGATTGCTATATGGCTTAGCAATGTATTATTTATTAGAGAAACTAAGTGATTCAGTGCCCCTTTGCACAAACAACTGCTGCTTTTAGCTTGTTATGGAAAATCTCCACAGAACTGCATCTGTGGTAAAACACATTTCCTGATAAAAAGGAATATTTGCTCCAAGTATAAACATCCATGACTTTTCTTGAGCTTTTATAGCTAAATAGGTGCAAATTTCCCCAGATAATCACATTGAAAGTGTGTCCTGAAGAGTAGAAATTGTTAAAGCAATCATACATCTTGACTTTGTAGTGACTGAAATCACAAATCTGGGTGTAAGATGGAGGGCTCCTCCTGTAACTGCTTGGAAAAAAAATATCTATTAAGCATGCTGTGTCCTGCAAGAATGTTTAAACCCATGAGATGTTTTAAAACAAAACAAGAAATTCATTATAATTCATTTTTATTTAATGGTATAAACAAAAACAACAAAGTGCATTATTTGGACCTAAAAGGAAAAGGTTCTGTAGATTATATCTTGCTTTTAGATATATGTTGGTGTTTTCTATCATAAGTGAGGTCATTTTTGAGGTCTATGAAGTGATTCTATCACATCATTCTCTCGCCTTCAATTGCATCTCTCCTTAATGATTAAATAACCACATAATAGTCAGAGTCTAGCATTATTGACTGACTTTAGTTCTTCTAGCTAAAGTTTTAGCTGCCAAACTCTTGTTGTGACGACAAAATGACTAATGTTTGCAGGGATAGAAGCCACATCATTAAGCTGAGCCTGGAATATTAAGTAAAAGACTGTTACTGCAAGCGCATGATTACTTAGCACAAACAACAGAAATTGGACTGATAAGGATATCAGGGTAATAAGCCACATTTAATTTAATGGACTATACTATAGAACGTGACACATCATTAAACACATCAATGTTTTAGTCACACGTTACAGCACAGATGTAAGGAATTAATAAAGAAACAACCTGGTCTGTGCCCTGACACAAGGCTATATCTCTGTGCTTCTTATTGCAATATGTGTATGTGCAAGTTATTCTATATCTGTGCCTTTGTCCCCTGCAACTCATATCAGCAAGTTATAATTTCTTCAAACCTGTGAAGACTGTATGAATGTCCCTGCTGCTCGCCTCTGGTATAATGGCTCCTGCCCGACTCAGCTCTTTATTATGGCAATAAAGAATTCCTTTATATTTGTGGGGAGCAATAATGAGCACAGCCTCTGCAGAGATATTAGAACATTGAGATTATTCCTAGTATGAACTAAACAGTTTGGCTGTAACATTGGAAACAACAATAATGTTCTTGTCAAGCTTAATATAAGGTGCTCTGTCGTCATTTAGAAAACATCATCTGCATGCAACAGCATTACGGGTCTTATAGGGTTTTTTTGGGAAAAGATGTAAGGATGAATAGGAGAGTTTTGCCTTTTGCTGGTTATAGCTGGTTTGCTGAATGTTCTGGCAAATTCCTTGCAGCACTGTTCAGCAGCAGTTTGCCCCTGAATGAAATCATACGAAAAGTTATGCACAGTATTTTGTACGTTTTTGACGTTTTTCCTCGAAAAAACATATCAGTGCGCATGCGCAGCCAGACAGACGAAAAAAGCAGATCAGCGGACGGACGTAAAACTGGGACGGACAGTGCAATAATTACTTCATGATGTCTCTCACTAGGTTGCTTGCTGTTTTGTATGTTAGGCTTAGGGTTAATTGTATGTTAAATTTTATGTTATTGAATGGTGCATAAGATGACGTAAAAATATGTACGCAAGACGTAAAAATACGACGAAATACGACGAAAAAAACGTCAAAAACGTACAAAATACTGTGCATAACTTTTCGTACGATTTCATACAAACTGATAATTTGTATGATCCAATTCTGTCCAGGGTGTACCCTGGATGGATGGATGGATGGATGGATGGATGGATGGATGGATGGATGGATGGATGGATGGATGGATGGATGGATGGATGGATGGATGGATGGATGGAT